GCTCTCAAACCTCGAAAGGCTCCAGCAGCCCTGCTTATCCTCCCACCTCCTTCTCCATTTCACAGGGGTTTAAAAGAGGTGGGAACTTATTTAAATGGAAAAGAGAACTTTCCCCCAACTCATGTGGAAATGTTAGACAAAAAAACACAACAACACAGGAAACGAGAGCAGCGAATATACAGGAGGATATTACTTCCTGCTGTGTGGGGAGATATTAATGATGATTCCTACATGCTCAAAGACCACCACACTGTGCCCCGCAGCTCTCTGAAGAACGTCAGTAACAAGGCGACAGAGTTCCTCCTCGGATGTAAGTCAGAGACTGAACACTGTCTTCCCCTTTAGGGTGTTATTGGTGGCCTTCATTCCGGCCGTCTGGGGCCCTGGGAATATCTCACTCACAGGCGGCTGTTCCAATCCCAGCCTGTCCTGCGTGTCAGGAAGTTTACATTCCTGCTATGGAGTCGCACTTATCTACTGGCCAAAGCTTCAGTATCTCTCTGGCTCAGAAAACTCTACAGCAGGACAGGAAAAAGGCTCATTTTACTTAACTGTTGTACCACTAAAATAGCAAGTCCAGCCTTTTGTGAAATGATTCTGATTCAAGTATTTTTTATCATTCTAAGAAACACGGCGATCCCCAGCGCACGCGTCTCAGGTGCTTCCCGTTTTAACTCATCCTTCGCCGATTCTGTTTCTCTTTGAGAGACACAAAACTGCAACGACAAGAACGTGGTCTCAGACTCCACAACGTATTCAACCACAAACAGACAGCCCCGGTTAGTTTGCTTGGGAACGATTTCTTCCCCCTTCGCAACATGGCTTAATTTAAGCTCTGACATCGCCCAGCTTTGCATAACTGCGCTTAAGAAGGCGGTTGGCCTGCTTGAGCTCCTTTAACAAAACGCTGCGTCAGGAGAGAGTCACCCCCTACAATCCGCCCATTCAGAGCAAAGACTTTCGGCTCCTATCTGCCAAAGAAAAAGTCAGGCACTCCGCCTGCCCTGCGTGTTACAGTACAATTCGCCCCCAATGAGAATGACTGGGGGCTCTCACTGCCCCCTGCTGGCCGTGGTCACAGGTGCGAGATGCCTGTGTCAGAGTGCCGCTCGCTGGGAAGCAAAGCGACTCGGATAATAAACGCACAAGAGAGGACAGGTGGAGGCCTTACTGGACTTTAGGCTCGGCTCTCCTCCAGACCCCTCGGACCCCCTTCAGAATCAAAGGTCAGCCCCCACCCCCGCAGAGGGGCCTGCGCTGCCCCAGACCCCCGCGCCCCACCCCCCTGCACCCCCCTCACATGACGCAGTAGGGTTCGCGGGGCAGCTGTGGCTTAGTCCTGCAGCAGGGGGGCAGGTGGGCCAGCAGCCCCTTCTTCAGGTCCTTGTTGAGGAGGAAGCAGATGATGGGGTTGACCCCGGCCTGGGCGAAGCTCATCCACACGGTGGTGGAGAGGTAGCGGTGAGGTATGGTGCAGGCCTGCACGAAGACGCGCCAGTAGCAGGCCACGATGTAGGGGGACCACAGCACGAGGAAAAACAAGGTGATGACGTAGAACATGCGGCCCAGCCTCTTCTCCGCCTTGAACTCCTCCATGCCCAGCAGGCGCCGGTTCTGGTTGTGCACGTTCTGCCGGATGCCCAGCAGGGTGGGCGGCATGGGCCCCCGCCCGAAACCCGCGATCCAGTTGGCGGCCGCCTGCCCCGTGGCGCCAGGGCCATGGAAGGTCCAGTTCTGGCTGATGGCCGGCACCATCTGGATGGGCTTCATCTTGCGGTGCTTGTACTCGAAGAGCAGCAGCTTCATGTAGACCACGTGGGTGGCCAGGATGAGCACGGCCAGCATCAGCATGAAGCCCAGGGTGTCGTTGGCCTTGAAGTAGCGGTGCTCAAAGATGCACTGGTCCTCCTCTCGGATGAACTTGTAGGTGCCCACATCGAAGACGGGCGGGAAGGCCATGGCCACTGAGAGGGTCCACACCATGCACACCACCGCCACGCAGGTCCAGAAGGTCATGCGCTTGGAGTAGAAGCGGTGGTGGGCAATGGCCATGTAGCGAGTCACGCTGATGCAGAAGAGCATGAAGGCCGCGTGGAAGCAGAAGAGCACTGCCATGAAGGCCACGATCTTGCAGCTCAGCACGCTGTAGGTCCAGGCCGAGCCGTTCTTGATGGACACCAGCACGAAGGGGAAGCAGACGGCCGAGCGAATGGTGTCGGCCAGGCAGAGGTCCAGCAGGAAGTAGTAGGGGGCTTTGTGGAGGGCGCGGTCCTTGAGCACCAGCAGAGACACCACCAGGTTGCCCACCAGGCTCACGCAGATGATCAGGCCCAGCAGGACCAGCTTGACGTAGGTGGACACCACCGAGGGGCCCCCGCCTGCCGCCGCAGCTACCGCTGCCAAGGGGCTCCCCGGCCCCCCGTCTCCACTCTCACTGCCGTTGGCCATTCCTCCTCCTCCTCCTCCTCGGCCCCCCGCCGCGCTCGCTGGCTCCCGACCGGCCGGCCTCCGGACCCCTCCCCCCGCCGCGCTCCTCGGCCTCGTGCTGGTGCGCTCTCCCCGGGGGCTGACGCTCCGCTCAGAAGGAACCAGGGCGCCTCGATCTGCGTCGCCCCATTTTCCTGTTTCCGCTGTTTTCCGCCGCCGCACCTGCAGACAGGGGAGAGAGAGCGGTGAGTGTTCCTGCGCCCCGCGGTCTGCGTGCAGCATCTCCCCCTGCTCCCACAGCACGCCAGCTCGCGCCGAGAGACCCACGCTGCGCTCGTTCGGCACCCGGCTGTTCCCCAGGGTGTCCCGCTGTGTCCGCAGGGCCGGCACGGTGCCACCGGCTCCGTTCGGTGTGGCGCGTAGACACGGTCGGGCCCCACCGGGGTTCAGACACCAGAGACAGGACTCATCTGGCACCCTCTGGCTCATTTGGCTTTAAATGCTGACTGACCTGAGGATCCCATACAGCCCTTTCTGGAAAGAAGCTGGGGTATCAGCTTCAACAGCCTGGCTGGTGGCTTGTTCCATGCCCCCGCTACCCTTTGTGTAAAGATGTGCATCCTGTCCTAATTGGAGGATCTCATCCAGACGTTTCTTGAAAGAAGACGGGTATCAGCTTCAGTAACAAGGCTGGGCAGCTTGTTCTACATTCCAGTTCTCAGTATGGGATGGTTTTCGGTTATTTATTTGACGTTTAATCTGGGTGTGTGCAGTCCTCCTGTCTGACCCTGAGTTCTGCTCTGTGTGCTCTGATGGAGTAAAGCCTGTGCACGGGTTCGAGCAGCCATGTGAACGATTAAAAAGTCCAACACCAAGTGGGGGATGTGGAAGAAAAACAAATGCCATTTTTTTTACATTTTAAACATCTTTTTCAAGTACAAGTGAAGGATCTAGTGTAGGGCTGGTAACCCTGCCACCTGGATACCGGGTCAATGCATGTGTTCGCTCTGGCTCATCTGCAGCACCTGGGGCAATTCAACAATTAAAGATCAGTTTTCTATCTATGCTATTAGAAGGTTCAAAGTTCTGCAACGGCCATGATTCCAGGCGTCAAGACTGACCACGCCTGCTCTAATCAAGCCGATTCGTCCCGACGCCTGCAAAACTATCCCATCGCGTTGTCCTGGAACAGGGGTCACCTGATGCCGCCCCCCGTGGCCCCCAGAAACGCGGCTCAGCAGTCCCCCACTAGCTGGAGCCGCCACAGTGATCACCCAGCCTGTTGCTAAGCTACGGGACCTCAGATCTCTCCCTTCCTGTGTGTCGGTGAGGCGTGTGCGTGGGAGTGTGTGTGTGGGCTCATACCTTGTAACGGTGTGCATGTGGAGAACGAGAGCAGAGCCTCGGGCGGCCGGGAGAGGGGTGACACTGCGACGGCCCCCCGAGAGGCACGGCTCCAGTGGAGCAGCAGCTCAGCTGAATCCCGAGGCGCAGGGTGTGCCGCGCACGGAGAGCCCCCTCCCCGGACCAACGCCGCGCAGCTGTCTCCCCCTCCACAGGGGGCGTCAGCCCCCGGGGTGTGGAAGTGTGAGGAGAGCACCTGCACAGCTCCAGTCGCACCACGAGGTACAGGGCCCAGTCAGGCACACTGCCTGAGCGGAGACGACCAGCCCAGAGCAAACGAACCCTGAGAAACCCAGGACCAGAGCAAACGAGCCCTGAAAAACCCAGGAACAGTGGGGGCAGGGTGGGGAGCTGGGGGACAGTGTGGGAGTGGGAGCAGGCCAGTGGGTTTAGGATGGGGAGACACTGGTGGACAGTGTGTTAGTGGGAGTGGGCCAGTGGGTTTAGGATGGGGAGAAACTGGGGGACAGTGTGGGAGTGGGAGTGGGCCAGTGGGTTTAGGATGGGGAGAAACTGGGGTACAGTGTGGGAGTGGGGACTGGACAGGGGCGCAGTGCCTGGAGGGCCAGCGAGCAGCAGAGGTGTGGGGAGGGTGCTGCAGAGGATGGGTGGCCCATTGTCTCCAGTCTCAAGACGGGAAGCAGGGATGCAAATGTGTTTCTGTCACGGTAATTACAGCAGCCTGTTGCTAGGCTACAGAACCTTATGCCTTG